TTGCTTCAGTGTTGAATTTACCATGAGATAAGTTTATAATTAGCTCATTCATTCCCAGATTGACCACTGTGGAGCTGATTCGTCAGCAGGAGGGACCCAAGTCCTCTGTTCGCCTGCAAGTAGCCGCCGTTAGCTGTGACGAGTGTGGAGCCATTCCCTGGGATGAGTTGCAGGTAGACTTCTCCGAAGGTTGCCATTGGCTTATGCCGGAATCTTTTCAGTTCCGTGACTATCATTTGTTTTGTATTTGATTTGTAAATACGAAAACAACATTAATTCTATTGTTACACTTTGGTTATTCTAAAGATCTTGCTCAATTAAATGTTTTGCGCTTAACATTCTGCATGTTTCGATATTTTTTATCTGAACATTTCCTAATGTAAACACTTAAAGTTATGATATTTTCCATCTGTTGGGGACTACCCCAAAATGTTAATTTAAAGCAAAATAATTATTTTTGTAAAATAACTTATCGTATAATCATTTTCTCATTTTATTTTCTCTCTTCTCTCTTAACAACAAATATTAAAAATACTCAAAATCAATCTCAATGTGTGCTAATCAAAACTCAAAACAAATTCGAAATCAATTATTCTGCTCAACTCTTTATAATCAACATGAAACGAACACTTGTAAATTAATATATGACAATCCTTACATGACACAACTGTCCACAATCACCAACAACTACAACAACCAACAACACTCCAACAAAAAATAGATCGCGCATCAAGCAAACAAGGTATAAAATATACAAAATTTGAAATTCCTTACTTAATTAATTGCTTAAGATTATGATTTTATTTTGCCGCTTTGTATATACTATCGAAATTTTTATTTATTAACATAATTTAATGGTTTTTGGTGCGACCTTTTCCTTTCATTGTAGTGAACTTTTGGCTTGTTCGCAAACGCATTTACGGCGTTCTTGGCCTCTAGTTGAGTAGTTTATAGCTTGCCGTGGGTGTCGTTCATAGCTGATAGCCACTGTGAATACCCCCGGAATAACTTTGACCAAGTGTACTTGCTTTGTAGCAATCTCGAAGCTCTTGTGGAACTTGTTTGAAAATGGTTAACTCATTCGAATGTATTTTTGAGCATGATACGGGTTAGACGAAGCTATCTCCAAACGTTTGCTAGTCCTTCCCATACATTAAGTACATGCCTAGATCCCCACCCGAATTCCATTTGATTTTATAATTTCCTTAGTATTGCTTTGTTAATGACTTATGATTTGCAACAAATTGGTTTATTCAGACATAGAAGTTTTTTTGAGAGCGTACACAAACTGCATAGGCTAATACGGCCGAAAGAAGTACAGTAGAACAACAGAAATACAGCACCTACTGACCCAGAACATTGGCGGTACACCGACTAACAATTGTACTGGTAAAACTAACAAAGTAACTAAATACATCCGCTTCTTTAACAAAGGAACATTTTGTCCATCTTTTCCATTACACCCACATTACCACAATCAAACCCACTCAACTCTAATCCACTTGCATGGTATTGCCTCTAGCTTAGCATGTTGTTCTCTAGCTGTTTCCAAAGTAGCTAAACATGATCAAGGATTTATTGGGCTTAAATTAAAACTGTTCCATGCTTTCTCAGACCAAGTTTGGAGCGCGTTGCAAAGCCTGGAATCTGGCGCCATATAATCCTGAGGCTCCGCCTTGCATACGTCTGCGCTTGGAGGAGACCTTGAACATGCCAAAGGAAATCGAGGGCATCATTGATCGCAAGCGTATTCAAAGGTAATTAATAAGCGTAAAAGATTCAATGGGTTTTCTACAGTTTAATTTTAATCCAATTGTATTTCTACCTTACTCTTCAATTTAAGCTGGATCACTCACCATGCCGAGATTCGTGTAAAAGACATTAATATGGATCTGTCGATGAGCACCGTAATTGGACTCGGCGATCTGGCCGAGGATGAGGTCATTTCCCCGCCCATGCCAGTGACGGTAAGATAATCTCCGTATACATAAGCAATTCCACTAAATACTTGGTCATTTTTTTTAGGTAAATCTGGAAAATGTTCGCATTAACTTGCTTGAAGACCGTCCACCCGTAAATATTACCTCACCGGGACCTGTGCCCATAAATCTGTGCATTGGTCGCATGCGTCTGGAGCGTGACCAGAGCGGATTGCTTAATATCCAGCCTATAGGTGCGATAGATCCTAAAAATATATGCTTTATGGCTTCATCGATATGGTTATATTGCAGATACAAATATGAGTGCCAAGCAGCATCAGGCATTGGGCAGTGCCTTATTTGGAGCACCTCGTGAACGCGAGCGGGAGCTGCTGTCCATGCAGCTGGTGATGCAGCAGATGAAGCTGGACAACGATCAGCTGCGCCGTCAACTCGTGGACTCGAAAGTAAACACGGATAACTATAGGTAAAAACCAAAATAATATGTGTTAAGGAAGTTATTAATGTTTGTTCGATATGATTAAAATAGGCAAAAGACCAAGCAAGAGGCGGATGTGCTGCGATCATATTTAAAGGCCGCCCAGGATGACATAAGCATACTGCTCGAGGAGAAGAAGGCCTTACTGGACACCATCCGTTCCCTGCAGGTAATTCAAGTGGTGAAGATTCGCTTCTAAAAAATACTTTCTTACTGTAACACTGTCTCTAACTTTGTTGATCGTAATGTTCACCTTGACACCTTCTTGCTGTTGTTGTTGTGCGAAAAGTTAAAACACGTTATGCTTAAGAACACCACAAATAATAATGCAAGGATTAAAGGTCAGTTAATGCCCAGCACGCTTGAGCCTTGCCTGCACGCCTTCTGAACTTTTAACACGCGTTCTTGCTTTTCTTTTAATTTTGGCTATTTGAATTGAGTTAAATAAACACTTTGTTTTCTTATAGATACAGCTGAACTCATCGAATATCAGCAGAAAGAGTGATGGGAACAGGTAGCATAACTGCATGGACTGCATACAATGCTGCGGCGAGAACAACAACGCCTAGCCGTAAGCTTCGGCCAGCCAGCCAGCGTATGCCGAATAGTCAGACGATAATCCTCTTTATAACGCCCATGACGTTCTCAACATCATCGCCATTCGATTTTGAGTTTAGCAGAAGACTGAGCCGTTCTTGTACGGACACTTTTCACGTTGCCGTTCGTCATTCTTACTTATACAAGAACCTATACGTATAATCAGAAATCTATAACTATATACATTGTTTTAATCGGTTTTAAGCTGCCACAAGCTTTTGCTATCGTTCCAAAGAATGCTTTATTTTGTTTTTTCTAAATTTTGGAAGACTTATGTTGATCTATTGCGTAGCCTTTTTACAAGCAGACTTTTAACTAATCCCCATTGTTAATAATTTTACAAAATGATAATCAAAACGAAAGCTCGAACTATGTACAGTCGTGTCATTGATATTGCGCCTACTCAGCATATTGTACATAATAACTAATTCCATAGATATTGTATAGGACATATTGTTGTGATTCATGATCATATCAAAACTCAATTCTAGTAATTGTATGCATTGCTGTTGTAATCGTGTGCTAGCAAAATATTTGGCCAAATTTATTATATTAAACTTTATAGTATTTTCTCGGATGGGAAAGACTCATCTGAGATCTATTGAAATTTGTATTCACGTTCCCATTGCATTCCAATCGACTCGATCATCGTTTGCAACAACTACCAATCAAAACCAGCTACACAATGCAATACTATAATCAAAAGTGTTATAGACATCCTATATCTACGCATACTAATAAACAAACTTAAATCAAATGTACCATGTTGAATAAATCAAAAACTCAAGTCAGTAACGCAACGCGTATACAAATTTTAAATTAAAAGTTTTCATATTTCAAATTGTAAGTGAACAAATATTTGTATTTATATTATAAAGTTTAACATTATACTAAAACGATTATTGATTGTTATACATTATACGAAAGTTTTCATCTGTAGCTAGGCGAAAAGAAAAATAAGAAATTGAAGTCATATTAAATATTGCAAATAAATTCAAATGTAAATGTTTGTGCCGTGTTTTACTTACCAATTAAGATTTGGGGCAGCCTCGTCTCGTTGGAATCGTAATTGCTTTCAGAACTTCTTGTATAAACGCAGTTTTCGGTTTGACTGCAGGGTATTTAAACTTCGGCTTTCCGAAATTAGTTTCACCTTTTATAAAAAAACAACAATTGTTTTACTTTTATAAGAGTTTATTTTTATTGAAACTTTACGATCATAGCCAACTGCTGTTGCTGTTGTGTCTCATTCATAGAATTAAATACTTTTAAGAGCGGTTCTTGTTTTGCTGTCTCAATCTCTATTCATAGCAAACGTACTGCACACTTGTGAGTTACTTCTCCTGTTTTTCTTGCGGTTACATATGTAAAGTTGCACTAAATTAAAGATAAACCCTCGAAAAGTTGCACTTAAAAATTTCGTTCTTTCTTCAGGCGATGTCTTTGTTTATCTCACTTACATTTTGTATACATATATATTTTCAAGTGTATTAATTTGCAAAAATATCTATTGGTATATAGTCTGATTTAGAAGAACGCCTAAAATACAGTTATGGGATAAACTGCACATGCACATATGTATGTAAGTACGTCTATATGTGGGGATTCCATCAAAATACGCAATTCAAACGCAAAGTTTGTTCAACAATTAAGCAACAAAGAGTTACAGTAATAATAGTAATGAACATTTAAGCTACAATTGTGATGACACTTGCGTATGCCTTCGCCTCAAATAAATTTGCATTAAATATTTGATTTAATTTCATGTAAAATGCTTACAAATTAATTGTACAATGTGAAACAAGGCCATTTATGTAAATGAAGCGGTAAAGCTGCTCGAAATTCTTTTCTTCGTTATGATTTATGATTAATGTTTGCATTCTCCTCCGTTAACAGGCGCGTGTTTAATGACTTACGGATCAGCTTACTTATTAGTATATATATTTTTTCTTTATTAAAAATGCTAGAAAACACAAAAATCATTAGTTGTGGATTTTTTTACTTCATTTTTTATTTGATTTTTTCTTGTTTGTTTGTTTTAAGAGTAATCTTAGTTCTTCTTGTTGTTTTATACAAAAAATCAACAAAATAGTAAAACTAAAACTAAAGCAAAGAATTAATTAAAAAGGTTCACAATGGAAACTAAGAAAGTTGAGTAAATTGAAATGATGACATTTGAATTGAATTAAAAATTGCTGGAACTCATAAAAACTTTTAATTGCATTGCTGCGTCTATATAATCGTTTACTTCTTAATTTCCCTCACTTTTAATGTTTTTTTGTTTCGTTCGTTAAAAACTTAAAGACACTTGGACAATGTTTGAAACTGCTACGAGTTGTTGGTTGATAAGTTGTTTGGGTTTCTATAAATTTGATTTACAATTATCGATTGATGTAGATTGCAATTATACAATTAATATGTAAACATTGCTGCTAGATTTGTTATTTATTTAATGCCTGGATGAATATTAAAACCATTCAAATAATGCTTAATAAATAAATAAACATGTTTTTATTGTGGTTGTTTCTGTAGCTAGTGCGGGTTGTTTACTTGTCCTTGTCAGACTCGGCAGCGGCCACGGGCTTCTTGTTGCCAATGGGGATGGCCACTCGGATCCTGAAGGAAAATAGGAAATGGGAGTTTAGAAATCTATCCCTTAAGATTTAGAATAGCCAAACTCACTTGTCGGTGATTTCTGTCAATTTGCTGCGCACCAGATCCAAGTAGGTATCGATCGATTGCTTGTTGTTCTCGTAGACCTTGGGCAAGGTAAACAGCGAGACAAAGGCTGCACAAATAAAGGGTTATCATATCAGTTGTAAATACTATTTGGTTTAGGTAATTCTCCTCCACTTACCCAAGATGACCAGAGTCATGCCGTTGAACCAGGCACCCACGTAGGTGAAGACCCACAGGATGACGCCGAACTTGATCGAATCGATGATATCCTCAACCAGGAACAGACGCCTCAGCTCGGAGGTGAAGCCATTGATATGTGCCACAGCCACGCCGGCAATGTTCTGCACCTTGTCCTGCGACAGCGTCAGATCCAGCTCCAGATATTCCCTGATTTGCAAGGGAATTATATTAGTCAACTATTTACCGAGTATATCAATCAAGTGAACTCACTTAAAGGGATGTCCCTCGTTTGTCTTTTGCACGGCCTGTGTCACCGATTTGTAGATTCTGAAGGCCACGGTGCCGAAGAGAGCCAGGAGCGACAAGTAGGCAAACACGCTGATCACCGAGAAGCTGGAGATGGCCACCAATGTGATCAGGCCGGCGCCGAAAACAATGCCGGATTTCTTCACATCGCGCCAGTAGATAAGGGATTCCACTAGAGAAAAGAAGATGGTTCAATTATTAACGGCTTTCAAAGAGTTTTTTGTGTTATACACATTTGATTTTTCATTCCCAATTTATACCCCTCATAAACTGTGAAAAGAGGCAAGATAAAGTGGACTGAAAATACCGAAATATACAGACGTACACACACGTTCAGCCTTTCGCACGCATTTACATATATCTTTTCAGCTGGCGGCAATTATGCAATCTATGAGATAAATATTTGAATCGGATTCGGGCACCTCGGGCCCATCTGCTTAGGTGGTAATTATCGTTAGCATTTGCTGAACAGCATGCAACTGAGCTTTGCATTATATTCTAACCCTAAGCACCTCCCTCCCAGCTTTTCACCGGTTGTTCACTCACACAATTCGGTCGACATTTCGGGTTTTCGGGGTTTTCCTACGGATCGTTCGCGGTGCTACGTTTGACGTTCGTTGCCAAGTTCTACACACTAGAGAAATATTATTTAGCGTCTGCTGGCCGGGGGCAGAACATATATGTAAGAATGGCTAGAAGAAGATTTCAGATTTTCCGGACCCAGCCGGAAAACAAGAGAGAGCCGAAAAGAGTGTATGTATGCTAATGGGAAGAGCGGTGGCCAAAGAGTGTTCGAGTGGCGAATGTAAATGGAAATGGTTGGAATCGCTTAAGAATCGATTGTCCAGCTCGTGCCTGAATGTATCTCTTGGCTTCAGACGCTGACGTAAACACAACTATTTGCTTTATATCTTCGCCATCGGCCTTAGCTTCATTCGCTTTCATTGGATTTACCGATAAGAAGTCACTGCCCCTCGTCGTCTGGGTTAACCCAATTAAGATACTAAAACAAACAATAGTTCTATAAATACATCTCAAGTGTTCGAACTATGGGATTTGCTGCCTCATCGATGGGTCATTAATTCTAACTGATTTATAAGGGTTCTCAGGTAAACTATTAACGTGAATCCAGTGAGGTGCTGCAATCAATGAATGAGATATTCTCTTTTGTGATAAGAAATCGTTATAACGTAATTATGGCTTGGTAGTTTAGGAAATATTTTTTAAATTAACATTAGGTAGTTAAGCACCAGAGTAATATTTTTAGAGAAGATCTTAGGGCAGTACAAATTATTCCGTGTGGTTATCCCAATCTTTAGTCATAAAATGCGATCACTATATCACTATAGAATACACCTAAACAAATAATAGATAAATTAAAACTCAAACCAGCATGAGGCAAACTACAAAGCTGGGTAAACTTGTTTTAGACTGGGATTCGGATTCGAATTTTTCTAAAGTTGCCAGGCCAGACACGATCTGAGGGAGTATTATGTAAATATGGGGGAAATAAATTAGAAAGGAGACAATAGTGATGAGATGGCAGCGTCTGAGACCCTAAACTGGGTTAAAAACTTTGAGAAAGCTCTCTCGTGGGAGAAAGTTTCCAAGGTATCAATTGAATCGAAGATTTCGTTACAATTGCAACATGAATCTCGCCGAAGAGCGATGAGATGATGGAACTGGTTTGGTTTGGTTTGCCTTGAAACCCGTTTTGGTCGAAAGTGAAGTGCAGCCTCGGCGGGACAAGAACACAAATGTAGTAGTAGTAAGAAAATATTACACAAAAAAACAGATAAGACTGACAGGGACTGATAACATCGTAGCTGCTATGTCTACACTTGTTTAATAATTCAATTTAAAATTGCCAATGCAAGCTGGAATTATGATGATGGGCCAAATTTGGATTTGCTTGGTTGCCAAGCGCAGTTCGAAACGTGGCAAATAAATATATATAAAATTAGCACAGCCTATGGAATGAAATTATGCGAAGCTAAAAAACTTGCAAAGTGATGACTGGATTTCGTAAGGTTTTTGGTTGTTCTTATTTTTCGAATATTTTGGCCACGTTGGCGGTGATGATACTCTGCTGCTGACGTTGGCAGCAATCACTGCGACGAATGGTTCATAAATATTTTTTATTCCACGACCTAGCGAAGATAAGACCCTCGTTGCGTTGCTTTTGTGGGTCTTAATTTAAAGTGGACAACGTGGACCAAAGAGACAGGTGATAACGTCGCGGAGATAGCCCCTGCTAATGGGTATTACCTGGTCCGCGTTCTGGAAGCGGCTGGAAGTTGCCGTTGGAGTTGTTGCGTGAGTAGCGCTTGCTGCCGCCTGCCATTTTTTGTGTGTTTCTTTCGATTTAAAACCGTTACTAGCTTGGCGCCAAAATGTATGCAAAGCGGGTGGGACTTTCGCGTGTCTAGGCTTAATTACAGCGTACAAGTTAGTTGGTTAGTTAGTCGCTACACGGACACGCACGCACACACACTGGCACTCGGGTACGATTCGGCCGACCGTCTGAATCGAGCGCAGCAAAAGAACTGGAAGAAGTTTGAGCACAAATTAAACCAACAAGCCTCCAATTTGCCATCGCATATGGGGAGCTGGAACTGCTTGGGCCGCGCGAGCGGGACAGCCAATAAAGTGGGCGGGTGGGCGAGGTAGAGAGAAAGAGATGGGGCCAGAGAGAGTAGCGGCAAACAAGTTTTCTGGATTGAAAAAGCAGGGGGAGCCACGCCAAGCAGTGCACAGTGGGCGTGTTATCTGTCTAATCGATTAGTATATTCGAATTTGAAATCTGTGGTTTATATACATATACTACTAGCAATAACTTCTTCGACTTAAGAAAGTGTTTAAAACATGTTTATATAGACAGCCCTTTTATTAATTTAAATAAATAATTGATCCTAAATGGTTGGAATGTAACATCTATTAACGAATTTAATATCACCTGGTGCCGTATTAGTAATAATAATCCGATCTTAGTTATATTTTGATACACTTGCTAATGTTGCACTTCCTAAATAAATCAGCGCAGATTAGGACAAAATAGCCCACTGTGCGGTAGGAGAGCGGCAGAGAGCTGTGCGTCGACGATCCGTATTGAAAGTAAAAGATAACGCGCAATAACAACAACAAATACGGGGGGTGGAGAGAGTACGTACATATGTCAGCAAACGTGTCAACCTCAACCACGAACTTGGCGATTCGCACTCGGGTCCACAGCCGAAGCTTGAAGATTGGGAATTGGACTTACGTAGCCTTACGTAGAGTTAAGTGACGTAGTGGGTGGGGTTTTGCGGTTGAATCATGGATCCGGAGCGTGACCAACAATGGCGAAATGCGGGAAATGCTAACACACACACCATGGTTTTAAATCAATAAATTAAATCTGCATTCAAATAGGTCGAGATTTGCACTGCTTATCTATGGGGGTTCAATGGACTGCTTTATATAGTTTGACAGCCACTGTGGAACGGGGGTGTGGATTGCAATTTCCATTGCCGGCTCAAAACGCAATTGGCTGGAAAACTGCGTTTTGGCTAAATGCTAAAATCGTTTCTAGTGACATCACTATACGCAAACACTTATATCCAACCCCAATCACCTCTAACGCTTTTGCGTTGCTTTTCTTTTTTGGCGCGTTTGAATGAGTAAGCTCTGCTTCAAATGATATCATTCCGATGTTCGCGCCTCTGACATAATTCCCAATGTTCGCCAACAAACGTTCATAAATGCAATAATTGTGTGCACCTGACATTGTCAGAAAGCATGCAGAATTGCATAAGGCCATGTTAATAAACAATTAAAAGAAATGCACAGAACGAGAGAGAATCAAAAACATCGAATAAACTAGCAATTAGAGAAACAGAAAAAATATACACCACACTCGTGGCATAATGACTACAATATACTTTCTGCATATTGCTTTATATGCTAAATGCCTAGTCATACAATTTCTTTTATAATTATCTAACAAGTAAGATTTTGTTTAAAATACATATTTTTTGAGCGTGACTCGGTTTAAAAATCCGCTCACGCACGCACCTCAAATTGAAACCCCATAAAAGTTTCACGAATGACAAATCACTTGATACTTTGTTGGCTTATCGTCAAAAGTTACCAAGGGGGAAGTGCTGATAAGAGGAAATACTCTTTTAGAAATACCCCTTTGGGAAAAGAATTAGTTAAAAAGCAATAAAACTAATCACATTTCGCATTTTAATTGGAAACGAAATAGGTTCAGACTATTGATAGTCGGGGTGACAGAGCTTTTTATAACACATATCATAAATGAATAGGCAAAACTGATACCAAAAGAACTAAATTCAGCAATTCCTTATCTAATCATTAAGAATTTGATTTGAAGAAGAAGTCTTAGCCTTCCTAAGCCGAAACACTTTTTCTCCCTATTATTCTCAACATTTTCCCTTAGACACTAAAAAGAATATTTATAAATAAATTATAGCTGCAATTAGAAACAACGCGCAGCGAGAGAGTGTGATAATGAAAGAGAATGAAAGAAGAGAGTGAAGAAAATAAAAGAAATTTCCCCAAGGGAAATTCTTGTTTCATTCGATTTTCAGCTGGCCATGCGGTCGGCCCTCATATTTACCCAAACCCTATACACACTTTTGAGGCCGATGAAATTCTTTTTGATTTGATTTAATTTATTTTACTTACACGACTCGCGATTCAGGGGCAAGTCTTTGAGTTCGCCCAGCGACTGCAGCAGACCCTGCAACGTTTCCAGACCAGCAGCCATCGTATTGTGTTTAGATTAACTGAGTATATGCGGTTTAAATTCTATCACTAAAGCTTTTTGCTCGACTGCAAGAGAAAGACGGAAGAATCAAATGTAGCGAAAGTTCTTGCGAAAGGTTCACTTCACGGATCGAGGAAATGCGAATAATGCAACGGCGGGCATTAACATTAACCGTTTGCGTACAACTGAACGATCGCGAGCCAAGACCGATCGGATCCGACCTAGACGAGAGATATAGAACACGGCCGAGAGTTCTTCGCACTCGCACTCACAATCGGAATGGCAGGCGGAACTGATATGGAAAGTGCCATTCGTTGGGGCAAGATAGTAGGATAGGATTAAACCTATTATTATATTATTTCATTCATTTTTTTTGATTTACGTTATGACGATAACCGCAT